ACAAGTTGGTATATGACTTGTATAGCTTTAGTGCGGGCTGAACAGAAAAAAGCTGGCGGGGCTGAATCTATTTACGATAAAGCCAAAGATGAGCGATCATAAGCATAATTTTAAATCTATAACATATTTGGTCGAGATCTCTCTTGAAGCAACTTTTATCTCGTTACGTGTGCCACCTTTTCTTGAATGATTAGTATGGCCACCTTAAGCTCACCTTAACTATATGCATGTGGATTGCTCATATCCTGACCAATATTAGTTGACTGACATTGTCCTTGCCTTAGAAGTATTCAATGATGCTCGTTCCTTGTTATATTCGAAGCTGTTGGACACTTTATACTTGTACAGTGTCCCATACTGTAGAATTAGAAAGATATAAACGAATCAAATAAGTGGTACATGAAAAAATTTCTCAATTCTGATTGGCTAAGAGCAATGCAATTTGTTCGAAATACACTGCCAAAAAATGAAATACAGTGCAAAAAAAAGAAATACAGTTCAAATTTTTTAATAATGAAAATATTCTGTTGAGCATTGTCCAAATAAAACTTTATCAGTGACTCCGGAAGAAAAAACATTTGAAATATTCTCATTCATCTCTGCACTGTAATAATAATATCATCACTGCATGTTGGTGTATGTGTGAGATAACATGACGAAAGATGACAAAAGTAAACTCCACTTACTAATGACAACTTCAAGAGTTTGGAGTGGCGAAATAGGGAAATGATGTTCTTGGAATTGTTACATATATAGACTTGACATGCATGTAAGAGTTAATGATATATCAAGTGATTTCATTTGTGTTTGTCTGTTGTATGGCAAATTTACATTATTCCCGAGACAAAACCGCCTATATCACTGATATTAAATAGGATGTTGTGCTGGGGCCTGGGGGTTGTTACATATGGACTTGATATATCTCGCCAAAGAAATTTTATCCTGCACTAGTTGAATATTGTACTTGAATATGAACTTGTAGCAGGGTGGGGGGCGTCCCTATATCTACATTTAAAAAACGCATTAATAATTCATGAAGAAAACACAAAGAAAAATCATAAGCGTGTCGTATCTGTATATGTGATACAGATTCATGTTGATTTACATAAACTTTAACTTTGATTTTCTCGGCTTAGACAACGTTTATTTTTTAAAATTAATATTAATTTTAAAATTATTTTTAATTTTAATATCTGATACAACACGGCCGCTCATTTTGTAAACATTGCGTATAGAGTCGGTAGAGTGTCATTTTTAGCATTCTGCAGGGGGCTATTTTATCATTTTGGGGGGCTATTTTGCTGCTTACTTAATCACAAAACAATTCAAAACATTTAAAATAGAGCAAGATAGAACATTTACATTATAAGGAAATAGAAATAAAATGCACATGCCAACAAGAGAGGCCAGGACTGGCTTTGTACTAGCTATGGTCAGACTACGTCACTGTCTGTCGTCACAGTACATGCTCTAGCCTAGGGACATGCTGAATTTATTAGCGATTCCCAGCAGCCTTTCGTACTCGTGTTCGACTTTTCCGTTTTGCTGGGGGCACAACCTTAATTGAAAATGAAATAGCTGTATATCAAGTGATTCTAATCGTGTTTGTCTGTTGTTTAATAGATTCTTAAATATTTACATACTAAATTGCATGTTTCTTTTTAACTGTGCCCACCATTACAACACAATTAACCTGGCCAACATGCATGAATCATGGATATGTAAAAATCGATAAAAGTTGCCAGTCAAATCTGGCACTAATCATGTGTGCAGGTATTACCCTGGATTCCAGAGCCTTCAGTAAATAATAAATTGAAACGTCGCGAAGGCTCTGGTTCAACGGGAGGATTATTTGATTAAACCGCACCAATCACAAAACAGAATTAGTGGTTTTAGTACAGAATCTGTTTTGTGATTGGCGCGGTTTAATCAAAGAATCCTCCGGTTGAACCAGAGCCTTCGCGACGTTTCAATTTATTATTTACTGAAGGCTCTGGAATCCAGGGTATGCAGGTATGGGACGGCAGTGAAAATTTAATTTTTTATCTCGGCTTAAGCAGTGATAGAACTGATTATATAATTTCCGACATTTTGGTGTTAAATTTAGAATGAAGTACGTTGGCATTGTTTGAATGATGCATGTATTGTCACTGGTGTTTTTTTAGCCCGTGCTCATGCAGTATAGTAGTTTTTTTTTACTTTTCCGGCTTATTTATTTTCACTGTGTATTAAACTTTTTCTCGTTTCTTGTAGATTTTTACGAACTGCATGATAACGGATCTTTTTATTTAGAAATATTTGCAGGATTTCACCACAGTTTGTTTTGTTTTTTGCAAGGTGACTAAATGCCCCTCTCATCTCCAGCAACCATATATGCGGTTACGCGCGTGCAAGTTCGTGTATAATTGGCTAATAATTATTAATCCTTGCGTCTGGACAAGTGGAGATTAAGACACTCATTAATTAGTAACGTAAGATCGTACAGTCATGGTGGTAAACGCAAATTCGTAGTCAACTTAAGGCCGAGACACACCGGACGCGATTCGACAACGCGGCGCGATTTTTCAGTTTTTGAAAGTTACTGAATAAAACAACCAATGAAAGGAAATTTTAAAAGATACGTGGACGAAATAGCGCTTCTGACTATTTGAAAAACTTAAACCAGGATCAATTGATCAAAGTTATCGGTCAGTAAAAAATAAAAAATCGAAAAATCGCGCCGCATTGTCCGCGAATCGCGTCCGGTGTGTCTGGGCCTTTAAGCCCTGGGCAAACTAGGAAACATTGTTGTAGAAACATTTGTGATTCTCGATGTTTCCTCAAATGTTTCCCAGTTTGCCACCCGTGGAAACATTGTTGCGGAAACAAAATTTGCTCCCTGAGAAGCAAAAATGTTTCCTATAGCGAATTCAGAAACACTTGATGTTTCCCTCCGTTTCTCACTAATGTTTCCTAGTGTTTGCCCACTCTTGGAAACATGGCAAAACATTGGTAGGAAACAATGTTTCCGCAACAATGTTTCCTAGTTTGCCCAGGGCTTTAGGCTGCGTGGCAGGATAGCCACATAACTCTGATGAAATGTGTATTCTGCATGTAGAATGCCAATATGCGATCTTAGTTTGAAGTGCCTATATATATATATATATATATATATATATATATATATATATATATATATATATATATATATATATATATATATATATATATATATATATATATCGCCGAACTGTGGCATCGTAGCAAAAATTCATTACTAAGAACCGGATTGGAAATTTAAAATTAGAATTAAAAACATGCAAAAACCGTGTGGAAATTGAGTTGACGGAGTTGTAGCGTCAGTAGCGATACTGATTTTTGATGCGATGAGAGTCATGAGACCATATACAGCTGCATGCATGGTAATCCAGTATTGGCATTGGCAATAGACAAATATTCATAGCATAGCGGACCTTTGATGAAAATGCAGACAACATGATGATGTTTGGTTAAAGTGCTTACATATCAACCACAATTAATTTAGGAGGTAGCTAAAGATATGGACCACCATATTTGAACGAAAAATTTAAAATGTTCTGTACATCAATATGTCAATAGACAAATTTGGCTAACGTTTGTTTATACCCAATTCACAACCTTAGATATGCCCATAGTTAACTATATTGTTCTAGATTTTTTCTGTGTTGGTGTTGTGTACGCAGGTGAATATGATGATTGTGATGTTTAATACTCTGAGTGTATATCCACACCAAACAAGCTTGAAAAATATGCCTCATGGCCACAGTGGGAATCGAACCTATAACCTTTGGAACACCAGCCTAATGCTCTGCCAACTCTGAGCTACGCGGTCAGGTCGGTTCGAGTATGTGATATTTCGGAACAGAATTTAGTTTCTTCGATATCAATGTAATCTAATAATCATGATTTTTTCCCACCGTGGCCAGGCATATTTTGCAAGCTTGTCAGGTGTGGATATACACTTAGAGTAACATCACAAGCATTAAATTGTTCTAGTTTACAGAAGACCACAGAAGCATAGAATAGAACAAAGGTATAACTAAGCTTCAAAATTATCTGTATGAGTGAATAACTCTTATACATATACCTCTAAAGTTTAGTTACCTTTGTCTTATTTTATGCTTCTGTAAACTAGAACAACAGTTACTAGGACAGTAACTAGGTATGTGAATTATCTAAATTTAAGAATTGGGTAGCAACGATGTAAACAACGTTAGTCAAATTTGTCTATATGTATGAGGTGACTAAACAAAAATTCACTTGGACCTACGATTTTTTAAAAATGAAAGTTTTTTATTTCATATATAATTACTCCTCATTCCTGTTATACGCAACACATTAACACATAATTCTTTAAATCAACAAAAGTTGTTTTTTTCAATGTGTCAAAAATTTTAAAATACGTCTGAGAAACACTTTAATATGTCATTGAGACAAGCTGAGGTCATACGAAACATGTCAGTCACACAATGCACCTCCGCATGCAGCGGTGGATTTGTACAAATTTGGGTATATTTTATTGCATGCCACACGATTCCCATTAATTAATTACTCGAGCTCAGCTCGAGTCATAGTTTCGGTCGGGTTTTTTTCGCGCAAGACTTACCCTCCCACGCGGCCACTGACCACTGCCAATTCTCACCAATCGAAACAAATCGTGGACGTATGTGATTATCTTATTGGCGTTCAGACAATGGCTCATTCGACTTACTGCCGACGTGCTATTACTTTGTTCACTCTCTGAGGACTGATAGTGGATTTTAATATGCGTACTCGATCAAGTATTTGTCAATGTATGCTTTCTTCGTGTACTCGATCAAAAGTAAACGGCTGTACGCTTGCTAAGCCTTACCGCATAAGCATACTCGATCAAAAGTATTAAAACGGGCAAACGGCTGTACCCTTTCTAAGCGTACTCGATCAAAACTTAAACGGTTGTACCCATCAATAGATTCGGTATACCCGATCAAAACTAAACGACTGTACGCATATTTTGTGTGCTCCATCTAGTTTATATTCAAAATATCCATCAGACATCACATGTATCTAAACTATCAAACTTTATAATTCCATCTCGGCAGTCGGGCTGCAGGCAGTGTGCCCGACAGTCAGGAAATTTAGTCCTAAAGTGTTAAAAATATTCTCTTAAAAAAATTAAACCACCCCACACACCACCCTAACTCCTAATCCTAAGACCGAAGCTTAAAATCATACTCGAAAGAAGTTGAAAAAAAAATTTAACTTGAAAATAAAACTGTTGCTCACTTACGGCACTCGAACCAGGGAGCCACGCTTCCCAAGCGGGCGCCTAAATCACTGCGCCACGACACAGAGTAGAGACATACAGAGACGTAACTAGTGTACCCACTTTTTTGTGCGCATGCTCGGCAAGTTACTAGATGCATGCATCTGATTGGATAACGACCTGATGACGACTCACTTTAAACTTGCTGAGCACGCGCAGTTGATCATTTTTTGCCCGGTCGCCTGAAAAAAATTGGGTACATGAAACGTAAGCTTCCGCAGTGTTTACAACTGTCAGTTACGTCTCTGTATGTCTCTACTCTGTGGCCACGAGGAGCCCGCTCAGTTAACTCGTAAATAATGCACTTTAAAGGAGTAAAGCCTGGCGCACACGATGCGATTTTAGTCGGCCGATAAAAATCGTTTGACATACCGATATACTGTACATCAGTATACTCCGCACACGATTACGAAAAAAAATACGCTCCCTGAACTGTAGCCGCCATGTTGCCAAATAAATACAAGCACGTGATCACAGCATGAAATCTGATTGGTTATACTTAAAATTGCACCGATAAAAATCGTATACTATCAAAACGTTTTGATGTTGTCCGATTAAAATCGAGCAACAAAAATCGGTTAAAAATGACACCGCACACACAACGATTTTGTTAGTTTTAGTCAAACGATTTTTATCGCCCGACTAAAATCGCATCGTGTGCGCCATCAGGCTTAAGCTAAGATGTAAAATGTATTAAATCTTATGCGAATACGCTGAATACGCAGATATTTTGCAAATCCTTTAGCTCGAGTAAACGCTTAGCAAGCGTCTTGTTCACAGTGGCGTAGCCAGACTATAATTTTTGGGAGGGCATATATCGAACGCCGAAGGCGTAACCCTTTTTAGGGGGTCCGGGGGCATTCTCCCCCGGGAAAATTTTGAAATCTGGAGTCCCTCAATGGCGATTTCCCGTGTTTCTGGGGTGAGATTTTGCGTAATTCTGAAGATTATTTACTGCAGGAAAGACCTGATTTTTAATGATTTCTCAATATTGTGGATCCTTAATTTGACTCAACGAAGCTTACTTGGTCGCGTGTAAATAGTTAAATCGAAGTTTTAAAACGCCTTTTTACCAATAACCACCGTAGGCATTATTTTCTGTAGTTAGATTTAGGGAAGACTAGAACTTTTATAGACAATTTGGTGAACAGATGAGATTGGTAGTCACATGGGTAGTCATCGTCCCCCCCCCCAATTTCTACCCGGATTTCATCTTTTTACGAGGGCAGTCCTTCAGCTGAGCCCCCTCCTGTCTACGCCACTGCCCCTCCCAATGACAAAGTCTTCACCAGCTTCCTGCCCCCAATCTTCATGGGTTTGCAAAATGTTTTCGGTTTTTGTCTTTAGTAATTACTTGATGTATACGATTCTCTATAGCTATAAAGTGCACTGATTTTCACAAATATCGAAGAGTATCTCTTTTTGGAAAGCATTTTGCATGGTTGTAGAAATTTTACACTCCGGGAAATGTGGTTTGTGTTATTCCCATGGCTTGGAATGATGTTGACTTCCCATGGTGTTGTTGTCGCTTGTCAATGACAATATGGTTTCGTCTTTCAACTGCTTCTGGCCCTATGATTAAACTGTTGTTCACTTTCTAGGCTCCATTAGAGATCAAATTGGATGATGGGAACAAAAAGCGATCTAGCTGATGATACTTGGGGGTCATATACTACACCTGATTGCGGTATGCATTAATAAATAGATCTGTTAAATTTCACCGCTTTGTTTTGTTCTCTATTTATAGTTGATGGGTTGTTTTGTGGATTTTGGTCTTTGATTTAAAATGTACATTACACAAACTTACTGGTCAGTTTAGAAAGACTGGTTCTTAATTTAAAATGTTCAGATCTGTACAGTTACAGATTGCGAAAAAAAGTTTTGCAATGTTATGTTTGGTTTGTAGGCATTTGCTTCAATTTCTATTTGGTATTAAATTTTAGATATTGAAAGAACTTTGCATTGGTTACATGGAGGCAGACATTATTTACAAGGCTCTCGCCAAGGTAACCTTAAGTAATCCCGTGCCAAAATCAACACTAAGTCAGAACGGCGAGGCAAAAGAAACGCGAAGACAGAAGAACCGGTGTCATAACGGATTCTCCCCTCCATCTTATTCGTCAGCTGACAATCTTGTCAGCTTGATATACGAAAACTTTCCAGCAATGGACCATTTGCATTATAGACTAAATTTTGATCTGGACAAAAATTTCATCACAGCTTCAAAGAGCATCACAAAATTAGTAATATTCCAAAGTTTCGTTGCGAAATGTTGTAAAATGCGGATAATATAGCCTTGCGAATTTTGCCGGTTTTCAGTCATTTTGTATTACGCACGGGAAATTGACAGCCCAATCGGGTGTTGGGGCATCAATTTCCCGTTTGTAATACAAAATGACTGAAAATTGCAAATTTCGAAATGCTATATTATCCGCATTTTACAACATTTCGCAACGAAACTTTGGAATATTACTAATTTTGTGCTCTTTTAAGCTGTGATGAAATTTTTGTCTAGACCAAAGTTTAGTCTATAATGCAAATGGTCCATTGGGTTTGAGCAAATTAGCGGACACTCAATTTTGACAATATGAAACATATCAATATGGAACATTTCTTCTGTGCCCGGTCCCATGTCGCAATTTGCAAGCTTCAATTAGTGAAGCGAGCAAGTTTGGACTACGCAGGGCTAACTGAAAATGTTTTTTCGGCTACCTTCGAAAAATTTAAATATACAGGCATGCATTATCCGCATTGCAGATAGTGTTCCCCCGCGTGTATTTTGTCCCTCTCGTTAATTATACGTTCACTTCCACGGGCGATTTGTTGTTTTGCGATTTTTTATTGAGTGTATATTCATTCACAAATATATGGGAAGGGCTGATACTTTATACTGTACTTGATGAAGTGCTATTCATTTAACAATTAATAGACATAATCACAGCCTGTAGTTGTGCAGTCACTTCTTTGTAATATAGTCTTCTTTAGTACTGAAATATGGTATATACACGTTATTCTTCAAAATTAAGAATGTTTATTTAGCAGAATATGACAAAAAGCAGAGTTGGACTAACTGTCAACTGCAAGTTTTATGCTCAGTATCCTCATTAATGTAGTTTAATATGTTGCAATTAAATCTAAGTGGTTTGAAGAACTGGCAACGTAGCAAGACAACTGATACACAACGTAAGCCTTTGTGCGAAAAAGTGCTTAGAAAAGCAATTTCGTGGCAACCCCCTGGAGAATTGATTTTCTGTGGTTAAATTCATAGTGCCATAGATGCTCAATTACCACAAAAAGTCCCCAAGCAAAAAACTTGCCAAACACCGAGAAAATGGGTGATCAGTGATTATCCTCTATTAAATTGTATATTTGCTGCCGAGCGTAGCTCGGCAGCACACTAATCTCTACACGTGGTGTGCTTACCACGTGACCGCCGAGTTTATAGCCGCTACAATCTCGATTTATGTCATTCTGTCATCCACGGACGGGCCAAAACTAGCTGTTTTGATATTATTTTTTTGTTGCCGGGGGGGTTTGTTCACAACATGGCGACTGTTATAAACGGACAGAAATATAAAAATCATAAAATAATGCGAATTTCCATAAAAATTCCGAGTAATATTTGTGAAGATGAATGGGTAAATAAAGCACGGTGTTATTTTGTGTCTCTGGCGCAAGAATGATCGACAATATTTTGAATAAATCAGGTAAGGATGGCTTTATTTCGTTCTCGTATAGTGATGTAGTCGTGCTGTGTGCCCTGCCTACCTGTCTGGTGATATATTTTATAATACATGAAGGCATTTATATTTAAATCTGCTGTTTATACTTGTTTAGTCACTTTAGTGTATTAAACTTCGATATAGAGGCATTGAAACAATATGATTTCAAGAATATATCGGCAATTATAATACCCACTGAATCACTGATCTATTCCCGACCAAATCGACAGTAATGATTAATGCCTTTATGCTGATACAAGAAGCAAATGAACTTTTAGTTTATTTGTTTGTTATGTCACTTAATATGTGCAAAGCCAAAGGCGGTGAGTATATAATAGTGTTCGGTACGTTCTATTTTGTATATGTTTATAGTTTAAAAACAAACGCGGGATGTTGTTAAATCAGGCTTA